TTGTTTCTTAAAATATCAACAGACGCTGCAGTTTTAGATGGAAAAAGTCATAAAATTGTTAGTCTACATAACTACGAATTATTAAATCATTCCATTAATTTTAATATTCCTGAATCAAAATGGCACACACAGTTATGCGAGGTCCAGCCATGAACACTATTTTGAACCAAACTAAACTTCACACTCACTACTTTTGTGGATCAGCACCTCAGAACTGGTAGCAAAATGAGCCAGGCAAATACCCGGAAAAAACTATTTGCCAGAACAAATTTCGTCAGATCCAATCAAATATAAACCGTGTGAACAATAAAAAAAAAGAAAAGCCAACAAACTCACTTCGAAGCGTCATTGGGATTCCATGCAAAATAGAAGGCTCGTAACTTTTTCTTATATGATGTAAGCTCGCTAAGCAAATATGGATCAGCTAACGCAGATTCTGATATTTTACTCTGCGCCAAGGAACGCCACACCAAGCTATCCTAAAGAATTAAAACTAAAATATGTTCATCACAACGCAAAATAGCTTTAAAGATAATATTGAAAGTACCTCGAAATTCAGAACGTTGAACCAATGGCGGCAAACAGGGTGCAGCTGCGTAGATCTGATAAACCGAGATATTGGAAAATTTGCGAGAGAATATGATGCGGCAGACGCGTGGCAAGCACTGAAACAAACTGTGACATAGCTATTACTCGGAACGCTAATGAAAAATGAAGAGAACTTTTCTTCGTTCTGAACGGTTATTGGAAGGAAATTACAGTAGCTTTCAATAAACATCATAGTACTCGTGAAATCTAGAAGAACATGGAAAAGTACTATGACCTCCCAAATAACAGAAGCCAACTGAGGAAAAAACTATGAATAGCAAAATGAGTAATACCTGCAGGAGCCCTTCTAGGAGTTTTAGACGTAGAAGCACCATTTTGGTTCACGTTCTGTCCGATCACATTTTCTGTTAGCATGGTGTGGAATTCTACAACACCTAGAATCCGGATTATAGCACATGTGCACACACCAAACGCGTAACTAATGGACTGAACAAAGTAGACGCGAAAAATTCATCAGACCGCAATATATGGTCTTTGACCGACTCTGAGAAAAAGAACAAGAACAGCAGGCAAAACTTTATCAAAAAGAAACAATCACTGTCAACAAAGCCTAATAATATAATTTCTGTGTACATTTACTGACCCGAACACATTTATGAACTCATTTTTTAACCTTCGCGATCTTTGCCTTTGTTTTATCCCTTGCGGCGGATTTCTTCGCATCATCTTCCGAGAATATAATAGAAGGCGATGAAAAGCTGCAAGGTGAAAACTTCATCTCTTCAAAGGATTCGATGACTGAATTAGCTAACCTGAACATTTTAGGGGATAGTATTTCATGAGATTGAGGAGCCGCATTTTGCTCCTCACCTTCCACCTCTGCAGCTTCTATTGAAGGTAGCCAAGTAGGGACAGGTCCTGTCTGGAAATGTCAAAACGAACTACAATTGCAAAAGCAATAATAAAACAAGTACTATGCGAAATCCTAGTTCCTTCTTTCGATCCTTGCTTTACTAAGGCAAAATTGCAGCGATCCTATACCAGCTAAGTTTATACTGGCCGATGTCAGACTTTGCGATTGGAGCGATTTTGCACCAATTGCAGGAGCGACGGATCGCTTGAGCGATGCGAGCGACGGGAGATTTACACCGCCGACCACCGATAATTCGGCGCCATCAGTTCGTAAATCTCGCAGTGCGAGCGACGGGAGATTTACCCCGCCGGATACCGATACACACGGCGCCGCTCGGGTAAATCTCCCGTCGCTCGCATCGCTTGAGCGATCCGTCGCTCCTGCAATTGGTGCAAAATCGCTCCAATCGCAAAGTCTGACATCGGCCACTCCATACGGCACCAACCTTGAGCTTCTTGTCCGGTTGTAAACAATCCTTCAAAAGTAACATGCTATCAATGTCACCCGGAACGCTGCCTTTGACATAAATAACTTTGCTTATCTAGATTCATATCGAAGGACCTTAAGAGTAAATCGTTAGAAATACTTGGTAAACGAGTCTTTAGCCTAGCACTGAGGAAGACCAACCTCTAGTCCACTTACGGTAACCCATTCATATCCCATATGACCAGGCATTCGCTTACCTGGCCATACACGAGCATCACCGGTAGATCCAACCGAACCGATTCGTCGATGTGATTTTGTAGTACTGAAGAAACATCATCAAACGGTTTAAATTCACTTGGAAAAAGATTACTCACACTTCGAGGCTGGTTGCCCTTTCATACCCCATCTGTGCATTCCACCCTGAAATCCCCAATCTATTGATTTCCCTGAGGCGGTAACGTATTGTCCAATGCAAAAATGTCGAACGTCTAGTTTTGTGCCCACAGAAGGCAACGCCTCTTTGGAGACCTAAACATATTCAATTCTTCTCTGAAATTTGTTTGAAATAATAAAGGCCAATCTCTAGAATAAAAGCAATATTAACTTCAAGAGCGCATCACCAGAGGCTTAACTTTTGCCAGGGTTGGAGGCAAGCAGTATGATTGTCTTGCCGGCCTGATCTCTAGTTCTGCTCGGCCCCTTCAGAACACAAAAAGCAGGTGGGAGAAAACCTCGGATTATAGGGGACTGTCTTGGAGGGCAAACGTGGTTGATTATATTGACCAATATGGTTAGCGTGAGAAGCAGTTAAATGCGGAAAAACAAACAACGATATGGGATAGGTAAAATTGTAATATATAAAGTCTCATCTCGGTATGTAGTAAAACGAGACCATCTATGCGACACCGTTTGTTCGAGTGGTGAAGCTCAAAAACTGCATTCGCACGTTGAGGTCGAAATCATGAGCTTTCAGCATATTGCAATGGATGTAGATTTTTTATTAGAAAGTCAAACAAAAATTTGAAAAAGTACCAGAAATGAACCGAGATATTTTTTAACAGGGACGCCAGCACGGATGAACTGGTTTCTATAAGCCTGAGTAAATCTGTCCATATCGTAGTCCACCGCTCCAACTGTGACCTGAACACTTCAAAATACTTTTTCATTTCAAAATTTTGATACAAAACGCACTTTCCACATAGGCCCCTCTCTGTTGAATGCTTTCCGTTTTCCAACGGGACTTCTGCGGTACCATTCATCGGGAGATACCACACTAACGACGTGGTTCTAAAAGAAAAAATATGCGAGGTGGAAAGATGCACTAGTTGCTCGAGACACCCAAATCAGAGCTGGCTCTGTTCAGAATTGAAACTGTGGTGTTGGAAAGAAAAAAGGGGTTACATTAAGGAACTATGGCTTTGTTTCGGTTACGGAAAACTTAATATTGGTCGTGAGCTTGCGATCAATTAGAAAACATTCCGAAAGGTACCTCACAAATTTCGAGAAGTGTGCACAATATTCTATCTCCAGTAACTGTCCATTGTGGCGCCATTCCAATCTTACGCGCGAGCAGACCTTAGAACAATTAAACCACAGCATTATGAATTAATGAATCTAGCAATCTAGTTCGATTGTAGTACGCTCTTACCAACTCTTCTTGTGGGCAATTCTATATCCGCAATCCTTGCTTCACCTTCTTGAGACTTTGTCGCAGCAGAATGGCCACGCATCTCTTCTCTGCAGATATAACCTCTCGCAGTAACGCCCTCAAGTGGAAAATGTGCGTAGGAGTATGAATAGCCTATAGGAATGAATTGAAATGTGCCTACCAACCGGTTGGAATCATCCAGGTAGTCGGCGTGAACCCGCTCGTGAACAGGAGGTAACTGCAATACCAATCAAGTAGAAAATACAAGAAGCGGATACATCTATGCAGAGTTATTGAGCGGTTTTATTCCTAATTCAAGGCAAAAATTTCTCATAGAATTTCCTAGCCTTTCTGCTGGTATTACTTGCACCATTCGCCACAGTTAATGTACAAGAAATTTAGAAGTAGTCGTCGACTACTAGCTTTTCTGCCACAATTGTGTCGGTGTTACTCCCCTTCACACTTGTTTGAAGTGATATGTTGGAGCATCTGTTCAAGTAGAACGATAGAAGCAAGTTAAAGATAGAAACATCCTACCCATGGTGCAGGAGTGAGAGTACGACGTCTCCCTCTAGATTGCAATATGACAGCGGAAGGGATGACGGTGATGAGCAAACGCGATGTGTCCACTGCAGTGGAAAGCAGTGGTGAGACTGCCACCCTCAGCATCTGAGAAAAAACATTGAAAATCCTTGGTTGAGGTTTCAATCATCGCGCAACAACGTAATAGTTATAAAAAATGTCAACAAACTCAAAGAACCAACGCTTGACGCTGACTAATGAACCACGAAACGAGATATTATGAACCATTTATAACAACAGTTACGTGAATCGAGCAAAAAACTCTATGTTTCTTCAGGAATGAGGTGCCTGCAAATACGTAAACACTTTAAAGATTCAAGGAGGTTTGGGGCCTATATGCGCGAATGAGGCTTGACTTGTGATCGACAAATTACAAACGGCGCTGTTACACAAGTTCTATGACTATCCATAGCATAACCCACGCATTGAGCCCATTAAAAGTTTTCAAGGCAACAAAAAACAGAAGAGAATCCGAATATATGAGCTGGGGTGCAAGTTGCTCATACGCCCTATTTAAGCTCTTTGACTTGGATGGAACATTCACGAAAAGCCAGAGCGGCCATCGTTTCAAAGTATCTCAGAACCAAGGATGGTGTCGCTTGATCTTGACTAACACGAACAGAATTACTGCACAATTTCCAAGAAATGGACCGCGTCAAAGCTTTATGTCTGAGTTTCTTGAGATGTCTCGTTTCTTCGTCATTATTCAGCTACGGCCACGCACAGCAGAAATGAGGAAATCCTACAGATATGAAATGCACATAAGTAGTTCACCATTAATAACAAGTTACTTCAGAATATCAGTCCTCATACTGACCGGCACCAAAATGATATCGCTTCGTCAGAGAAAGTTGTTTTATATTTTGAGATCACTCCAGCCTTTCTTTGATAAAATACATGGAGAAGTACATCTGAGGAAGAGTGAAGAAAAGAGGACTCACAATCAGTAGCATGGAAAGGACGTCAAGGTGATGGCCTGAGTCCTCTTTCTTCACTCTTTCGAACCATTCTATCCCTCATCCATACTTCAACTGTACTCTTTTTGGTTTTTCCGTACTGGACCATCGAGGCTGCTAAGCACAGTGGGGATTCACCAATTTCAACCGATATACGTCCTCAATGTGTTCTAATCTAAACAGGGCAGGAACGATCGCAGAATGTTTGAAGACAACGGAAATCGTTCTCTTGACGCGCTCGCTATTCACGCTGGTGCCCGTCTAGAATAAAGGAGTGATATACGAATCAACTGTTTATCATGGTCAGACTATTATGATGCCCATGTAGTGTGGATTTCCTCATTTCTGCATGCGTTGGTGACGCTGATATATGAGAAAAATGCGGATGTTCCGGAAGTGACCTCCGGATGGTACAAAGTTTTGACTCTAGGTCCACAAGCATTATTGTTTTTAACACATTGACGACAACGCGGGGGATATATATCCCGCGCATTGCAGGCCGTGTCGGACCGTGCGGGGGATATATCCCCCGCACCCATTACACTAATTTTTTTCGCGCACGCCTGGTTCTTCTAGAAGTTTCTTGTAATTATTGAATGGAGGAGACCTTGACCTAGCTAAAAACATAGTGGTCCATAGAATGGTCACGTATGCTTCAATTTGGAGGAGGATTTCTGAACCATACGAAATCTTCAGCCTAATAAATTTTTCGTTTACTTTTTCTTCCTATGAATGTGAAGGTTTAAATAGTAGTAGAAGTAGATACGGTACCTTAGAGATGACAATATATGTGTTTTGATTAAAATAATCAACTCAAAATTGCCTTTGAAGTTTATTGCAGCTTGTTCTAAAGAATATCACTTTTTCATTGTTATTCCATGTCTTTCAATAGAAATTCCGCTACTGTACCTCCGAGTAGGTTGTGCTCATTACAATATATTGATCTGGCCTTGTATTGATCATTATTTATGTTTTTAATCACTCAAAATTTGGCTAACGAAACCTGAGGCGCGCGCCTCGCAAAACGCCTGTCCCAACCGTTTCGATATAATGGGACCAAAGTGCAAAAACTCTGCGTCTTCGTTCACGTCAACAGTGTTTTTCAAAGTGACGCGTAATTCACAATCCAATGGTCTCAATCCGAAATCGAACGACACTTATTCTTAGGTTTCAACACACCGACACGTAGCTACTCGCGAAATGAAGGTCTATCATAGTCAGACCTTAATAAATAAGGAAGCTCATAAGCAGACATGACAGGCTGCACGCAATTTAAGCATACGTCCACTCTATGTGAATAAAAGAACACTAAGAGTGTTGCTGTGCAAATGCGTGGGGTGTAGGCAAGATTAGAAATTGTGATTACTCGTAGTTGATGCTTAATCGACGAACAGAGAAGTAAGAACGTCCTACTCGGTCGAAACCCGAAGCGATTCTTAAGGTTATTTCACGAGTATCTCGTCGAGCTCTCTGAAAGACCGCAAGATGTTTGCCCATGTAAACACACCTAGCTGTTATCGCACAAGGCGGATGGGACATGCACTGTAACCTACGGAGGCAACCAATTCACCTTTGCTTCTTCCACTAGGAATACACCTGCTTCTAAATACTTCATATTTCTACAATTTTCAAAACATCAAAATAGAGATCCGTGACATCAAAACATTGAGCCATAGAGTAACCGTGCAACTTTAGGCGCCAGTGCTGAGTTAAGGGAATATTTTTTTCCAAGAGATGCTCTTTGTGAATTGTGAGAGGTGAAGTTGTAGACAGAATGAGAAACGGCTTTGAAAGTTGAATTCATTGGAAGTCGCAGCACCAGACGTGCCATACACCATATATACGGTTTGCTAAAAGAAGCAGTCACGATAATTTTCATGGCAACGATAAGGAAAGCTATGTATTGGAGTGGATAGAGGTCCTGCCCAATGTTAGAACACGTAAAGTTTCAGTGGCAGTGGCCCCTTATCAACGGAGTGATAAGGAGCCGAAATTCCACTCAAGTTCAGCAAAACCCAAGACTTATCGATGTGGAAAGGGGTGCGATAAGAGCGTGCTAGATATGATACCGTTATCGTTATCGTCCCGTTTTCATTCTGGAGTGCACCTCTTATCAAGCAGCCGCACCTTCTTATCTCATCGTATCATATCTTCCATGGGCTTACACTCGTCCAACAATTACTGCCTCACACCTTATCCGATTGATAACGCGAGGGTAGCAAATCCAGCGTGGAAGCAGCCGTGCTGCCTCTGAAGCCCTAAAGCGAGCTGACCTGAATGTGTTCAGTTATACAATTCGTTTTACTTTCCCATCTAGGCAATATGGATAGTGTAGATACAAATAGCACAGCGAAACTACAAAACAAATTCAACTCTTAGATATTAAATACATAGTAAGTAAAATGACAAGCTCATAAGAAGTAATAAACTACACCACCATTATGTCTTCCGCCAAAACTGACTTCAAAGGTATTATGGTTCCTCACAAGTACGATTAGAATGATATATGGGATGGGATGACACTTGAGGCTCTACTAGATGTCACCAGGCAACTTCCAACGAAAAAACTTTCAAGCTACTCGATGTAAACGAATTGATGACGTCGAATATAAAACGTCCTCTGTGCTTTTTGCCGTGCACGCCAAATGACGCGCAAAAATCTCCACGACGGTCGCTCTTCATTGGCGCTCCAATTCTCAGTTTGTTCTGTATTCA